CGAAACCAACTGAAATTTTAGCACACAATAGAGTAATAGTGAGGCTATATATGGTCCAAATTTCAAATTTTTTGCCCCTACGTTTTCTTAATATCGGTTTCCAAACTCAGAGGTCTATTTCATTTATTTCGATAGTAAGTGACTAAAAATAAGCAAAAGTTGATTGTCAAGACAATATGAAATTAAAATCGTGTTAGTTATATTTATATTCAAGAATGTATAATTTTTTTGGTCGTAACTTTTTTCATTAAATATCCAGTGGTTTCCTTCTTACCGGTAAGTAGCTTGAAGATTTGTAGATTTGTAGATTGAAGAAGAAATCTATCTGAGCCAGGCTAATTTTTAAGCTGTAAATTTATTTAAACATAAATAACGATTTTATGTGGGACACCCTGTACGTAAAATTTAATCTGTATTCTTAATAAAGAAAAATTAGTACATATTATTGGTTTTTTATGCGTTATATTTTCGTACTATTTAAGCTTTACAAAATCATTACTTAGTACTTAGTACTACTTAGTACTACTAGGTATATCAAAGATAATATTAAACCATTATGCTTTATTTTAGGACGCATTTATAATAAACCAACTCTGTGTTTTCACTTTCATTTTCAAGGGTAGCGACACCTGTGAGAGAGTGTACAAACTAATTATATCGAAAGAAATTAAAAATATCTTGTGAATAGGTAGGAAACTCGACAATTCTAGTTTAGATACATATTAAAAATGGAGTCGTGTATAAAATGTTGTCATTTCACTTGAGGACACAAATTATAGAACTATTAATAAATATTAATCTGAAAATTAAATACAAATGATCCTAGGTGTCCGTTCTAGTGAGTGAAGTAGTTTGGTTATTGTGCCTAACCTAGTTCCGTTGTAAATGGAATATATTGGCAGACTAACAGTATGGTTAAAATTGAGGTACTTTGGCATTTATTTAAATTATTCTTCTGTTCTCATGAGCATTGAAATTTATCTCACTCACTAGCGGGAACCATTGCGAATACATTGATATATAATAATATTCAATTATGTTAGTTTCTTCGATGATTTGTGTCCTCATCTGAAGCTCTGTTACACGGTAAAAATATACATACTAAATCGCTCCCTTAATGATAACATTATTGACGTCAATCTCCTTAACAGCAATGTAAAATAAGTTGTGTCTTTTCTTTTTCAGACATCATTTCGTATTAAAATACCTTAGTCGTAAGCACTCTCCTTTTGGCACTTGACGTCAATATTATGAGAAACTAGGACAATATTATGTAAATTATAATTATCTTGATTCTACGTATAGGATAGCCTGGGAAGGCCTTTGATGACCGTTCGTCGACGAACGATAATATCAATGAAAAAAACTTGTATTTGGCGACATATTAAATCAAATTTTGTTATCTAATATAAGAAAAGTATTAGTAAGGTAGTAAGGCTGATAAAGATAATTGTCACAGTAGCAACAGAGTTTTCTGAATCTATGGTTTGGAGTTTTTAAGGTTTAATAACATTTTCACAAGGTTAAACAAATTTAGAATAACTAAAACTATTCGTTTCGCATGAAAATTAGCGAATTTTTTTGTTCGAAATACACTTATTTTAAATACAACGGAACTATCAAAAGTTTCTAAATTAACTTTAAATTACTCGATCTTCTTAAGTTGAAGAAGGCATATGTATATAAATATTGTTAAATTATTTTTTAACACTCCGTATAATAAACGTCGTATTGGCAGGTAGGTTTAACAAATTATTGCACTACCTGATGTGAAAAAATTGTAGTCATAAGGGAAATTCTTTAATATTCGTAGAAATAAAATTTACATCAAATTTAAATGTCGAAAACCGCTTTCTACCAAGTTTCTTGATGTTAGGATCAAAACACGAATTGAGCTGGGAATTCTGATTTTAAATTCAACGGGTCAAAATATTATCGGGTACACTGGACTAGTGCTGTTTTATTATTAACATTATTTTGAAGTTATCTATCTACATGACAACCGGATGCTGCAGTGCAGAAATTGAGTTAGATATTTGTTTCTTGTTTTAAATGAAGTCTACATATTTTTTTGTAAGGGTAGACTTTTATCCACCGTAGCAGAGTTCTCCTAAAACAAATACCCCCATATACTTATTCCCACTATTACAGGCTGTAGGTATATCTGCGGTAAATCCTTAGAAAATCAAGATCTAATTAAATGGGTATTTAAATCGCAATTTTGGACAACTTGCCCGATATAATTTCACAAAGCGAACGTGATTTTTTATCTTTGTCGTAAACCAAAATTTCGAAAGCAACTTTTCATTATTTTAAATAATCAATCGAAGGGCATAGAAAAAATTGTTTTAGTGTTAAATCATAAGAAAACTGAAATTGTTATAAGTTTTTTATTAAAAATTTAAAAAATATATATATTTCTCTGAAAAGATAGTTTACATTTTTACAGTAGATTAAAAAATATATATAAAATTCATTAATTTTTCTGCTTGTTATGATTTTTTAAATTTCTGAAATCACCCCTTAACTTCTAGCCACCTTAACTTTGTTAACTTTAATAGTACAAGAAAAGTCAATAGACCATTTTTATGTAGAATTCTATGCTCTACAACTTATATCAGAATATTTTTTTCTAGCTCTTACCCCTTTTGAGTTATCTTGAAAAAATCCTTTATTTTATCTTTTTTTCACCTCTGGCCGGGGGTTGAAAAAAAATTACTGTCACTTATTGTTATTATATACCTCAAACCAACTTATATCAAAAATTCAGGCAAGTTGACCAAAATTGCGATTTAAAGGTCCATTTAATTGGACAAAAAAGCAACAAAAACCAGTTAAAAATCTATGAGGTGAAATCCTTTGTATACCTAGATTTTTGGTATCAACACTTCATCTTCACTTTGACTTCATTTTAGGAAAACTTCTTGAATTTTATTTGAATTAGCTCAACACCTTTGATATAAAGTAAAAGTAAAAACTAGCTGTTTTATTAACTTTAAAATAATGGTTACTATTAAACCTTCAATTTTTGAATGTCGTCAAGGTTCATTATTACCAAATAATCTTTGATATTCAATAATTCGTCTCGTGGTAATGTCAATATTTATGTGACCAAACGAATAAAACAACTTTATTACAAACGATCTTTTTTAATATTGACCTTTCACAATAATTAATATTTATCACCAGCTTATTTTAAGAAAACATTAATTTGTTCGCCTGATAACTTACCGAAATTTTTTCAGAAAAGGTGTATACACTTCAACATAGAGTAGATGTAGACACTTTACGTCTTTTGACTTCTCCAGCAACTAAGCCAATAATGGTTTAACATCAACTTATCATTTTATTTGTTATATCAATACTTAAAGTTGTCATTAACATTTTCCGTGTTACCGTTTAGATTTTTCAGGTACTAAATCAGAAAGCGCCGAGTTTGCAACAGCTTTTAGGAGACGTAAAAAAACTGGAAAATCACAAATCTTCTGTCGGATGGGAATGTTAGATCCACAATAAAAATTCCATGTATTCCTGTATTATTAGAAAAACTAAGATGAATAGGTAACAAATTTTAGGATATTAGAGGAGTTTTTCCGACATCTAATGCTTTATGAACTTTCTTGTCAAAAACTATCAATGTAAAACTTTTTGAAAATAAAAGTTTAACGCTTTAACGGTACTGCCAATAGTTAATTAACAATTAACGTTAAAAAAGTTATCTTGAGAACAAAGAGGCGTAGGTGATTTCTTTTAATTGCCGTAAAAATAAGCTGTATTTAATGCAAAAATTGCGAATTCTCAAGCGGTTTTTGCCCGACCCTGAGACAATTTGTTTATAACCCTGTTTTGCACATCCTACTTTATTAGTTGTAAAGGGCACCTTAATTTCAACTTTTTGAAATTTTTCTTTTTCGATACGTTTCTTTGGATCAATCAGAACCTATATCTACGATATTAACTTCTAAAATTAACGTTTAGTAATTAAACAATTAGTTGTAAGAAAACAAACGACATTAATTAACAAATACCTGGGGCAACAATTTCACGGTGAATCGAATTGGCCTTTGGTACACGTTGAACATTGGATTGGCCGTCTTTCAAATAAATTTCAGCAATATTCATCGCCTTTTGCAATAATGCGCAACTGTAGAAAACTGACTTTTCCGCATTTGACCTTTATTTTATAGTTAACAAATTGGTAAAATATGACTATGGGTATCTTAAATTGTAGGTAATTTAATTGCCTACAACATAAAGGAAGTAATTTTCCGATAGGTCGTCCAGATTTTCATGGGCAGTAAAAATAGTAAAAAAACACGTATTTTTGCCAGTTATTAGCAATTTGACAACTTAGCATCACTTCTTTCGAGTTACTTTTTTGATATTATCATTCTTCATAACCTTCCCCGTCGTAAAGTGCAATAAAATGTCTACTAACAATTTTTTTAAAATTTTCAGGCTCTATGATTTTATTCGACTGAAGTATATGAAATTAAAGCCATCATAAATCCAGCAAAACTTAAAGAATTAAAGTTTTTACACCACACTTCTAATTTTATTTTTACAATTATGTAAGGTCCGCGATTTTTTTTACCAACCTCAAGACTATGTTCTCGGCTGCAGCGAGCTGGGTGAAAATTTTTCTACCAGGGCTAAAAAACGAACTTCGTTCTCTTTATCGAAATAACTTTTCTCTTGTATTTTCTATTAATTTAAAAAATAGATATTAAGTCATAATAAAGGTCATTATCATTTAAGTAGTGTAATTTATTTACTAATTGCACTTGGTCATGTTTATGAACATTAGTTTAAATATTATATATGTACAAAGAGATAGATATATTTCATAGGATTTAAAAGAATTATTTGCAGTAACCAGCCACCCATCCACGTTGCTTGTAACAGAATCCAGAACAGCAAACTCCTTGCCTTCCGTCGGGTTGGCAGCCATTTCTTCGGGCGATGCAGGCCAAAGCGCCTTGTTGAAGGACCACAAGAGCGAAAAGGATGAGGAAAATTAAACTGAAGAATTTCATCTTGATACCAAGTCGAAATATAGCAAAAGAAATCTGAAATATCAAATTTATATGTAAGAGTTGGATATCAGAGTTATCCTAAGCCATACATCTTTAAAAATTCAATTTTTATATTTGAAAACCTCATACACAATTGGATATAAATATATAATGTAAATAAAGCTGTATATGGTTTAGTATTCTCTTATTGTTATTTCAAAGTATAGACCATAACTATGTACAAACTGATAGACAGTTTTAATATATCTTTCTTATAAAATAGCAAACAATTTACTTAATTCTTGTTAAATATTCTTATAGAGCGAATTTATGTGAATTGCGCTCAATTTTTTTTCATTTGATTTTAAATGTACCAAATTAATACTTGTTCAAATTTGTGATAAAATTTTATATAAAGTAACATTTTAAATAGTAACATATTAATTATTTTTAAGCACAAATTTGTCGCGCTTTAGCAGTATAAATACTGGTAAGTAAATTTTATTTAAAAATGCAAATAATTATGTAAGTACTAAAATTGATTTTTTTCTCTAAATAATAAATGTATATTTTAAAAATTAAATACATGTTTACCTATTTATAATATCGAATATATGTTTATGTACTTATGTTTATTTACTTACAGAGAAATTTTATTCTCGATATATACGAAAACAAAATATATTTTTTAAGTTTAATTATACTTATGATTTTATTTGGGAAGAACGATAATGCCTTTTTTTAAATTGTAATCAACGCGACTTGAAAACAAACAAATAACAAAGGACTAAAAATAGTTTTAGATGATATAAATAAATATGTATGTTTATATTGCCTACAATATTTTTTAAAAATTGAACAGGTATGCAAACTATAAAATGAAATTACGTATTCTACTACTTTACCCCTATATCTAGCTTTTTTTCTAACTAAAATAAATATATGCTGAGAAACTTTAATAAATAACTCACCCTTGTAGCTGTTGTCTGACGAACACACAAATTTAATTGATATAAAATTTCAGTTCCCTTAGGTTTATATATCCTACTACCCCAAAAGTTTTAACATTAATTACATTGCCCCATAATCTCTAATCTAGAATTTCTCGAAATGCATTATTCTCTAATCTAAGGCAAATTTGAACCTTTCTGCAATATTCTTTCCTAATTAAGAAGGCTAGCCAAAGGATTATAAAAATTTGGCTAATACGTTCCATATCAAGTTCAGGTATAAATTACTTATATAAAATAACTCAATAGGTTCTTAGGTACTTGTTTACATTTATTAAAATGGAATAAAATGGTCTTCAATATGTTTATGGGACTTTAATAGTAATTTAACTACACCCGTAAAGGTAATTTGTAAATAATGCATTGTTTACTCCAATACTGTTTCCTCTGGAACAGAAATTATTATGTATTAAAACTAAATTTGTAGGTATTTTCTGAAGGTACATATTTATTTGTTTTCTTTTTTTTATTTTTGGGCCTATATCCTGCTACCTCAGTAAAGCCTTATTTTTATGAAAATAGTTGTACCTGGCCAAAAATGTCATACAGAAAAAAGCAGACAAATACAAAATGCACTGAAAAACAATTACTTTCTATTAAAGCAATCGGTTGTTTTGAATGCAGTCAGTTTACATTTATGCTAGTTACATTGGGATAAACCAGTTACATTCAATACAAGTCATTTGATTTGTTTGAATTAAAAAAACTTTGCAACAGGTTTGTCTATAATTAACAAATTAGATTTAATAGGCGGAATTAAAAGAATAAATTTTTAATATAAATTTATAGTCGTTTTTATTTAATAAATATTATTTTATATTGTCCTATCAAACGTTACAATTAAACTTAAAAGGAAAATTATTCCAAATATATAATTTCTTAAATGTGAACCAGCTGGTTATAAAAGTTAAATTTTTATATAGTTTAAAACTATTATCAGTTCAATAGTAAAAAATATTATTTAAAAATTAATTCAATCACGTGATCAAGTTGTGTTCTCCCCTAACAGTCGTGTCTTTGCCATCATGGCGACTATGTATGCAAGGTGCCTGTAGTGTATTGTGTAGTTCAATAGGTTAGTATGGACTATATCAATAGGTAGTGTTTCCTGTTGTTGTTAGATCATATTCATAATATGTATAACATGTGCATATAGTTACAGAGTGATGTGTTCCGTTTGCCCCTAATTAAAATGGATGCAGAAACTGTGGAAGTTAGGGCTAAACAAGTAATAATCGTCAAAAAGTTGGTTTTAGATAAGAACGTAGTGTTGCTGTTGTAGTTTCATAAATTTATAATAAAACCCAATTTAACAATCCGCCATTTATTTTTAATAACTCATTAAACTGTCAACACCTATGACAAGTAGTTTTTAACATGATGATTTATGTACATAATACGTAAACAATAAGTTCGGAAAATACAAAGTCTTAAAATTCATATTTAGCAAAAAAGAAATGTTCGAATAAAAGTATAGTACTCGTTGTGCTTTTCTATTAGTAGCTCTCAACACGATGTACCTTTTCAAATTTAATTATAAACCTATAGTTAGATAAGTTATCTAATTATCAGTTCAATAAAATTTGAGAAAGTAGTGAGACTAATCAAGAAAAAAAGACGTCCAATATTAGTGAAAGAAACAATTTTTTTTATATACCATTGATTTATTAATATTAAAATAACCTATTTTCACTGAAAAGCATTTAGTTCACATTAAGCTAAGATATATTTCTAATAATTTTATGTTATCTACATCTTAAAATGTGTGGATTAATAATAAAGAGGCGAAATGTGATATTACAGTAAAAATAAATTAACATTCAAATAAGATTAATTACAAAATTATTAGTTACTTTTCACACTATATATCCAAAACTAGGATTAGTTCATGGCAAACGATATTTATTTAGTCCAAATAAATCCTTTTCTCAGTGTACAAAGACACTTTGTGTATCGCAGTTTAAAAAGTTATTAACTGTTTTCGTCTTTTTCTAACTTTTTTGACATTTCGTTTTAGTTACATTGACCGTTTAAATTTGTTAGCTTTCGTCTGTCTCCATAGCTAGAGATGTCATATGATATTTATTCTATTACTTACTTTATCTTTTAGAAACTGTATCCAGTAATGATTGAAGTTCATAGAATAATTTGACACACATCTTTCACCATTCAACAAAATAATCGCGGTCGTTTTTAATTTTTCATTAATGGTATTATTTTCCTTTTCTAAAATTTTAGCTGAACCTTATTGAATATTACGACAGTTTTCTGTCTGTCTTTGACAATAAAAATCATAAAGTAGGTATATTTACGTATAGGTACTTATGTGTACATACTTTTAAAAAAAAATTTAGTAGTATTTTTTGTCATTATTCCAAAAACATATAAAATGAATACGGCTTGCAGATGAAAATTTAATTTTTTTTAACCATTAAAAATTTAATTGGCTGATCTAACTTGCAAAATAATTCGATATTGTACAAGTTCTGATATATTAGGTAGGTGTTCCCGCCAGCACTGACTTTAATAGGCTATTGTATATTAACATTAATTAAAAAGCTTTTCTTAAGAATAAATAAAGGAAACATTTTACTACCGCCTTCCTACATAGACATGACATTTTTCTGTGGGAAAATATTAATTTTTCGTCATTTAACATAACTAAAAGTTATGAGATGTTAAACAACAGTAAATTATTGTTATTATTACTTCCGTTTATCATTACTATTATCTCATTATTTAATTATATTTAATTATTTTCAAAGTGGCCGTATTTGTGTAATTGTATTTTTATTTATATTAATTATAGGGCATTCCATGCCAAATTATTGAGGTAGTGACCGATCTATTTTGAATTTTCCTGATATTTTGGTAGTATTTAGTACCCATTTAGAACAGCAAATTGTATTTGCTTCGTATTTATTTGACAAATTAGTAGTTTTTGAGATATTTTGCAATCCACTTGTTTTAATTTTGAAAAAATATTTCCTGATTCTTTAGAAATGGTGTCGCGATTTTCAGGTGTGACACATTTGCACAATTCAATGAATTTTTGCTATTAGTTTCTTATGATATTAAAAAATATCAAATACCTTAAGAATTATTTCAGCATATGTATTTTTTTTCTTCGGCACCCTCTGTTTGGAATTATGCTGATCGACAGCTTCAGTCGCGTTACGACCTTGAAGCTTTAATAAAAATTAGATAATTTCAAAGTTATTCATGGTTATATAATTGCTTAAAGGCAACTTGAATTCTCTGAAGATAATATATTTTTATGGTACTACTAATATTTCAGATTAAACAGTATATTCTAGGAAATATTAATTTTGTTCAATAACACAGAAACTATAAAAACTAATTAAATAGTACCACTATCTGTAGAATTATATATTCGTTACCAATAACTGTTTTTCTCTTCTCTTTTAAAGTTCAGGAGTTCATTGATACACGTTGATTTATTTCCATAACTACTAATAATTAAATACGAATATAATTATAACTATAGTAAAATTAATGAGGCCTCAAAAGTTGAAGGTTTATAGGAACTTTCTCACCTTCCGTTTCCGAGGGTGAGAAAAACAATAGCGACGGTTCCGTTTTGATTTTTGAATTAATTCATTGGGAAAGAATAAAGACCGACAGCATGGAAGAATGATGGATTTTGTACATTGGAAGTAGTCACGGGAGGATGGGGTAAAAAATAGCACCATCATCAACGCCCTCGAAAACCCCTATGAAACTTTACAGTGTCCTTTTTAAATTTTTTGTATATTTTCTTATTATGGGTGGGGTAGATTTAACAATTCACAAACAAATCCAATCCGACGATTTCTCGCAACCCCATGACTGAAAACCAGAAATTGGGGTTGTTTTTCCACGATAGAAGTAGTACATTAGGATTTCAGTCTAGAAAACCATCACCATCATTTTTCTCACCCTATTTCAAAAGATCCTACAATCTTTTAGATTTTTGCCGTGTTATGAAGAACTATAATTATATCCGTTGACATATTTAATTTTGTTTAAAATTCGATATTTTATGGATAAATATTTAGTTTTGAAATTTTGAAAATTTTGCTGAACTAGTCTAGTAAGAATGGAAAAATCTGTATTTGAGTATCTAGTAGAAGTAAAAATAACAAAAACACTTGGCCAATATTTGCTTCCTGTAATAACCCTATAATAATCTATCCTACAATATAACTAAAAACCGCAATAAGTACATTATAATAGGCGAGCGGTGCATCCCTAAAAAGACGTACAAAAAACGAGTGAACCGACCACGGAGGGGGGTCAGGATGAAACCTTTTCTAATCTCTATACTACATTGTTGCGAATAAAAAACCTTAATGGCATTTTTCTGTATCGATGGTCAGTAATTTGTTACAAACAAAAAAGTTACAAAATTACGAAAACTTAAAAAATCGATATGAAAACATTGGTTGTGTATTATGGGCAAAAATAAGCACTTTTTAATCCTTGTAATTTTTTCGAAAAAAGCGTTGTTTTCGAGCTACGAGCGATATACGGTCGAAAAATAACTAAAAGTCGCCATTTTCAATTTATGTTTTCTCGGATTGTACTGGAGCTTTTTTAATTTTTCTTGTTCGAGATTACTCACCGAAAGTTATATTTTCATGTTATTTATTTCCCCCGTATCTAATTCCTGGAATGTAGCAAAATACAATCCTAAGAAGTGCTGCTAATAATTCTGATTCATGGTGAATGTCCCATGGATATAAAATAAATTCAAAATATCTTCATTAGAATAATTATTTTACATTTTTCTTGTGTGCAAATACTTGATACATGTAGAATACTCGTACAGAATGACAATACCAATATTTGTCTTTCAAGGCACATATCAGAAAACCGCAAATATCTGATAAAATCGAATCTCTAACCCCTACACTGCCTGTATCGGTGAATAGAGAATTTGATTTTCTATAATTTGGTGCAATAAATACAGGGTATTCCATTTAAATTTAAAAAATTTTGTCAGTTCTAGGTTTTTAAAATGAAACCTAAAAAATGGTTCACTTATGTTCTTTGTGTGTTCCCAAAAGCAAGTGAAAGAGTCCAAAACGAAGAATGATATAACGAATTTTCGAAACGCTTGCATCTATCAAATTTTTTATAAAATTTCGATTATCTCGAAAACCGTTAGACTTAGGTACAGAGAAGCCTTAATATTTTTGGCTTATCTTTAATTTATCTTATCGATAACTCATTAACACATAGGGTATTCTATTTAAAATAACGATTTTGACAGTTACTTCCGGCATAACCTACGCTGACGGAATTATTTTCATTGAAGATAGCGTATCTGATAACCCCCGGAAACAAAATTTCAGAGTCTTACTATATTTGACATAGTTATAGGAATATGTTAGGCAAAGACTCCTATATTAGCTAATATCGATATCTTATACAGGGCATTTTTCTATAATACGATCATTTTAAGAAAGTTCAAACTTGATTTTCTAAAATTTTTCAAATGGAACACCCTATATTTTATTGTTCTATTTTATTCACATATTACTCCACTTCAACTTTTATTAAGTATGTGCTACACCTAAAGTTGTTAGTTTTTAAGATATAGCAACATTTCGGGAACAACCTAATTTTTATTATTTTCGGTCGCATGAAATGGCTTTGGAAAAAACTGTCACATTGTGTCAACTTGTCAGTTCATAATTTATCATTCCATTTTGAATTAATTTTATTATTTATTATTTATTTGTGGTATTCTATAAAACAATAAAAATTAAGTTTTTTCAGAAATGTTGCTATATCTTAAAAACTAACAATTTTAGTTATAGAACATGCTTAATAAAAGTTGAAGTGGACCGATATGCGAATAAAACAGAACAATAAAATACAGGGTGTTCCATTTGCAAATCAAGTTTAAACTTTCTAAAAATATCGTATTATAAAAAATGTCCTCTATAAAATATCGATATTAGCTAATATAGGAGCCTTTGTCTAATATTTGCCTATAACTCTGTCTAATTATTTTGTCCCAAGTGTTAGTAGCTGAAAGTTAATGCAACTTCTTCGAGGTCATGTTTTTTCCAAAATTCGAAGAATTTTCTACATAACTTGGCAAACCCACACTAAAATGATAAACTGTTTATATTGCCATATATAAAACTTTCTCGGAAATCCATGTGTTTAAAAATATACCGGGTGTTCCATTTAAAAAATGTAATATTTGGCGTGTCCTGTTTGTATTCATCGCCCTGTGTGTTTCAAATTAATTTTGTCCTTTAGATTTTTTGATTCTGTACAACTTTTATATAAACTTTTTTTCTGTATTACGAATAACAAGAGAGTTATTTTACTTTCTCATACTAATGGCCCACCCTGTATATTAATCGATTTTAATATTTTTTGATTGGTAGAAAAATATTTTTTTGTATCCAAACCGCTCATTTAATCAAAATTTTACAAGAGACCCAAAAGCTTCCAAATGGTATCGCCTATTAAATAAAAAATACTTGTCATTATTGATGGAAAGAGGAAAATTTATGAATGGTATGATCACCGTACATCAATTTGTAGGAGTTATAGTTTAAAAAAAAAACCTGTATAACACCAAAATCGAATAATACGTATTCGAGTTATTTACAAAATTTAAAAAATTTTTACGAACTTTGAGGCCATCTAGCGACCAGTCAAAGCGATTTCGGATATAGGTGAATAGCCTAAATCTGCCTATTTTGAGTCCAAGAATCTGTGGTCTTTCGTTGTACACGTTATTCTGGGACACCCTGTATATGTATTTTCTGACATATATCTGTTGAAGTTTGAAGTAAACTGAAAAAAACTTGGCAGTCCAAGTTTATTTAATTAGAAATAAATATGTATTACTAAGTTGAGGACCCCGCAATTTCGAAGCAACTGAGTATTCTATGAATTCGATTCGATTTTCATTACACAAATAGGTAAAAAGGCCTCTTCCGTTATATCGAAACAGTTTTTTAAAACTGACTTATTAAGATTTCTTTAGGGCTATTTGATAAAATAAAAATATTCGCAGCAATGATTTTTTTCTTTCGATATAATGCATTCATTGTACTCAGAATTGTATTTCTTGCAAAAAGATTTAACTAATTGTTTCTATAGATCGAATTGTGTGATAATTTTATTTTGATATAAAACATCGAGCAATTTAAAAGTGCTCGTCCTTTGCAACTGCAATTGGTAATGAAAAAAATTATCGAATTTATAAGATACTAAGTTGGCGAGCTGACTCCCCCGTATGTTTACCACTGCTCTCCGAAAAAATGTGATATTTTTCCTAATTTTTACATTCTCATAAAACTTTTTGCTGAAAACGATTTATTATATCACCATGTTAAGAAAACCTGGACCACACTGTATTATATTTACATACTTCATGTTTATTTCATGTCGCCTCGATTTCTTCGCGAAGTGGAAAAACCTCGTTAAGCAGAATCGTCGAGGCAAATATAAATATTGTGTAATGGTAGCAATTAATATCCATATAAATAAAAAATAAATTATCGAATCGCACGTTTAGTGGTTAGGTCACTATTTTCTCGAGATAACGATTATTGTTTTTGTATATAAACTCAGGTTGAATGTCAATAAGTATTGTTGTTGTTGGTGAACTGACTAGCAAAGACTGGTAAGTCGTAAATGTGTATTTAATTTTTGTAGACTATAAAATAAAATAATTTATCATCATCAAAATTATTCAAAAAACTTTTTATTATTCAATTAATTCACAGTTATAAAAAGTAACAATTAACAATAAAACAAGAAACAAACATAATGAAAATGTTTTCCATTTACTCTGGACGGTATTTAAGTTCCTTAAAATTATTAGCTAGCACATTTTTTGTGTACAATTAGATAGTACTGAAATAAATTTTACTAAGGGCACCAAAATCTTAACCTCCAAAAAGTTGTGACAAAATATTTATATTCTACAATATATCAAATGCCTTTGCATGAAAAGTTATTCAAATCAGGTTGATTTAGACTCTCCCAAAACAGATGCCTACATTTATTACAATAGTTTTGTTAATTTTAGAGACTTTAGCACTGTAGGTAGTTTATGGTACGTTATTCTGAAATACCCTGTTTATTGCTTCTTTTGAAGAGATTGTGTTAATAATGTTAATCTCTATATTATTTTTACAGATTTGTTACTCATTACTTGTTAAGATGAAATTCTTCAGCGTGTTCTTCATGGTCATCCTCGCTCTCTTGGGGCTCCAAGGAGCATTCGCTTGCATAGCCAACCGCAATGGTTGCCAACCTGACGGTAGTCAAGGAAACTGTTGTTCAGGATTCTGCCACAAGGAACCTGGATGGGTTGCAGGATATTGCAAATAAAACATGACGATAAATCTATTTACATAATTATTTACAAATATATGTGTTTGTTTTACGTTTGTATTTTTTGTTAGTTCCTTGAAAATTGCGATATACGAAGTTATTGTTTGATTATGGTATCATTATGTCGAACGAAAAGATGCATTGAAAAAATATTGACTTGAGAATATCATCATCAGTTTAATTTAAGACCATATTTTCAAAGCAAACTTTTATTTTGTGGCGGTAGAAAAGTAAACCAATTTATAGTTGCACGCAATATATTCTATTTATTCCTGAATTCTAACAGGGTATAGTAATTTAATATTTTTATTCACAGAGTAACATTATATTTTGTTAATTTTATCATATTAAAAGTTTAAAGGCAAAATTCTATACGTCTGTCATAACGTGACAATAATTAACGCTATTTATCTGTTTATATGATTCTGATGAAGAATGGTCTACAGTTAATACTATGGTAGTGTAGAAATGGCAGCTATAGAAGAATTTCATAGGAGAGAAAATATTCGATGTATCGAGTAAATCTCTTTTTTTACAAATTCATATAAAAAGCATATAAGAGAATAGGTTTAACCATAGCATTGTACAAGAGTATAATAACATAATATTCTACCTTCCTTATCTTTTTGTATCTAAATAGAATGTTAGTGAACAAAGTTCTAGGAAATCGCAATAGCAAATGTGATACTTTTTTTTAGAAATATTCGTAATAATGTAATTGTTCAGAAAAATAGTAAATTGTTTAGTAGTAGTAAGATCAACACTGATTTCTATTGAAAAAAATATTAATTCTTTTAAGCACAGTTATTTATAAACATATTTAGGTTGAGAGTGACATTGGACAAAAAATGAAGTTTTCGTACTCATTGCGTACTTGCATTAACAATTATTATCGCCATCATATTTTAATATACTATATAGGGTTCCTCACGTAATTCTACCCGCCTTAGCTTATTCAGCGTTCTATCGAAGAAAAAATAGTAAATACTTGACAATAAACTGTTTTTTTTAGTAGAGCACATGTATACTTGTTTTGACAATTTGCATAATATTTTGGTTTATTTATTGACCCTGCCCAATCGACATACTCAAAGACAACATTGGTGTGAAACTAGGGGGTATGTGTGTTCTACTGTTAAATTTCTTCAGGAAGTCTTAAAATGTTTTAAATAATGAAAATATAGGTATTATAGAAGATATTGGATATAAGTGCGCCATTATTCTATGGCTAGAAATTGGCCTCAATGATTTGGGATCGAGGGGGATTATCCCTCTTTATCCTGCCTCATCTCGTGTAGGCCTGGACAGCCTTCGTAGGTGGGCCCCATCCGTCGTCTACCCCGACCGCAAATGCGGCCGGTGTAGGCGCTTTGTGGGACCTCCTTTTGTCCTGGCTGGGCCCCGCCGGCTAGGGCCCTTTCTTCTGGCGCTCTTCTTGCTTCGCCGGCTCGTCTGTGTAAACCCCGGGGGTAGTGTCATGTTTATG